ATGATTAAATGGCTATGATCACAAGGGATTTCAAGAAGTGCCTAATGAGAGGAAAGGGTTCTTCAAGAGGTGAAACCTTCAACAAACCAAGGTCCCCTGAAAAACAAACCAACGAGGGCTGCTACAAATGTGGTAAGACTGACCATATGATTAAGAATTGTCCTCAGTGGGAAATTGAATGGAAGAAAGAAAGGGTTGAACGAATAAATAGGAAGAAGGAACAAGTTCAACCCAAGAAGAATAAAGGATCAACAAAGGCTATGGTTGCTGCTTGGGGAGAAAACATAGATGAGGATTTAGAAGATGAAGCTGGAGATGAACAAGCACTTATGGCCATTGGAGAATCAGACGATGAACAAGAGGTAAGTGTTATACATCTAAAAGACAAGATTAAATTTTTGTCTTAAGAAAAGCTATCTGAATTACTGCTAGACTTCATTGCTGAGTCTGAGGTCATAAACAATGAGAAGGAATAAACGTCTAGGGAATGTGTGATCCTAAAAACCAAGTGCAAAAATCTAAAACTCAGGGCTAGTGAAAGGGATAGTAAAAATACTGAGTTGAAGAACCAGGTTCTTGAACTTGACACCACTGTCTTAGAATTTAGATCTGAAAATTTAGAACTGAAATTTGGAACAGGTAAAAAGAAAGCTGATCACACATATCTCACCTTAGAAGAAAATCTAGGAAAAATGAAGGATGAGTTGTACAAGAGAGATGATCAGATAAGAGTCGTAAAAGAAGATCTAGGCAAGGTAAAACATGAACTAGACAAAACTTACAAATGGAATAAATCCTCTGATGCACTATCCTGGCTACAAGAGCACCACAGTAGCAATAATAGAGGACTTGGCTATGAGACCCCAGCACCTAAGTGGGATCCCAAAAGCAAGTACATTACACTTCCTAAGAACAAAATTTGCACACACTTTGGCAAGACTGGTCATTACAAAAGTGAATGTAATGCAAAAGAAAAGGCCAGTCAAAAGAACAAAATCTTTGTTCAAGAGAAAAATAGGCTGCCTGGATGGGCTAAAAGTAATTTAATTCACCCAATTGCCTATAGAAAGGGACCCAAACTAGTTTGAGTTCCTAAGACTAACCCCTGATTTCATTTTGTAGGTCCAAGTGAAGGGAATTAAGCCAAATATGGTACATGTATAGTGGCTGCTCAAAGCATATGACTGGAAGTAAGAACCACGTCCTTTCACTTGAGGTCCTAAAAGGAGGTAATGTCTCCTTTGGAAATGGGAAGAAAGGTGAGATCATTGGGGTTGGAAAGGTAGGTATCACAACTGTGAGACAGAGGTAACCTGGTAGCATTCACCTCGACCAAATATTTTGTGATTAATCTTACCACTGACACGATTGTTTTGCAGAGAAAAAGAGTTAACAATATTTACATTTTAGATTTGTTCACTCTCTTAGAAAATGAAATCACTTGCCTAAGTGTGTTGGACAATGATCCCCTCCTATAGCACAAAAGACTTGGTCATGCAAGTCTAAATCAACTCAACAAACTAGTCTCCAAGGACCTGGTGATAGGGTTACCTAACATCAAGTTCAAGGAAGACAAAGTTTGTGAGGCTTGTGCAAGGAGGGAGCAGGTAAGGTCCTCTTTTAAAAGCAAGAAAGTGGTAAGCACGACCAGGTCGATGGAACTGGTTCATATGGATCTTTGTGGTCCAATGAGAACATTAAGCAGAGGTGGTAAGAAATATGTGATGGTACTTGTTGATGATTACTCTAAGTTTAGTTGGGTCTTATTTTTAACATCTAAGGATGAAACATTTGACATGTTTACTTCCTTTGTTAGAAAAACTCAGAAATAACTAGGTAATCAACTTGCATCAATTAGGTCTGATCATGGAACTGTATTTGAAAATGCTAAGTTTGCTGAATTTTGTGATGAGCATGGTATAGATCATAATTTCGTTGCCCCTAGGACTCCTCAACAAAATAGAGTAGTTGAAAGAAAGAATAGGACTCTTGAAGATATGGCTAGGACTATGCTTCTTTCTAGTAAACTGCTACATAGCTTCTGGGTAGAGGCTGTAAATACTGCATGTTACATTATTAATAGGTGCATGACTAGACCTCTTGTAGAGAAGACTCCCTATGAGTTACTTAAAGGGAGAAAACCAAATATAGCCCATCTTAGGGCATTTGGATGCAAGTGCTTTGTGCATAACAATGGAAAGGACTCCCTACGTAAGTTTGATCCCAGAAGTGATGAGGGAGTATTCTTGGGATATTCTTCACATAGCAAAGCTTATAAAGTGTACAACAAAAGAACTTTGTGTGTAGAAGAAAGTGTACATGTAGTTTTTGATTAAACTAACATTCTTTCTGAGAGACAGGAACATGAAAATGAAGCTATTGGGATGGTAAAAGAATTGAGTGAAGTCACAGCTCAAGCTCAAGCTGCACCAAAAGAAGGAACAGGTGATGGAACATGTTCTTCCATCCAAGGCAACCTGACAGGGGGAACTGAACAAAGAAGAAGTGAATCTAATTCCCAAATGGAACCTGTCCATGAGCATGTTACCAACTACATGGGAGAAACTCCAAATAAAAATCAGTTGGTTGTGAAACCTTACAAGTATCAAAGTTCTCATCTCATTGAGAACATCCTTACTGACCCAACTGCTGGAGTTAAAACCAGATCTCAATTAAAGAATTTGTGTGCTTTTGATATATTCTTATCTCTTATTGAACCTAAAAATGTTGCTGAAGCTTTGCAGGATGCAGACTGGGTGAATGCAATGCAAGATGAACTCAATAAGTTTGAAAGAAGTCAAGTGTGGCATCTGGTCACAAGACCCAAGGATAGATTAGTCATTGGCACTAAATGGGTCTTCAGAAACAAATTTGATGAGGATGGAACGGTTACAAGGAACAAGGCAAGATTGGTGGTCCAAGGTTATAGCCAAGAGGAAGGTATAGATTATGATGAGATCTTTGATCCAGTTGCAAGACTAGAGGCAATAAGACTCCTCATAGCCTTTGCAGCACACATGGAGTTTACCCTTCACCAAATGGATGTGAAAAGTGACTTCTTAAATGGCTACTTATAGGAAGAAGTCTTTGTCAAACAACCTCCAGGGTTTGAAAGTAAGGAGTGTCCAGATCATGTATACAAACTGGACAAGGCCCTATATGGACTGAAGCAGGCTCCTAGAGCATGGTATGAACACCTATCCAAATTCCTTCTTGAACATGGATACAAAAGAGCTAAGATTGACAGCACTTTATTCTTGAGGGAAAAAGGTAAGGATCTACTAGTAGTTCAAATTTATGTCGATGACATAATTTTTGGGGCTACCACTGAAAAATTGAGTAGGGAATTTGCTAAATTAATAGGGAGTGAGTTTGAAATGAGTATGATGGGTGAGCTTAACTTCTTCTTAAGCTTACAGACCAAAAAAACCCAAATGGAACCGTGATCCATCAGCAGAAATATGCAAAAGAGTTGATTAAGAAGTTTAAAATGGATGAATCAAAAGAAATAGACATACCCATTGCAACAACTACTAAATNAACCCAAATGGAACCATGATCCATCAGTAGAAATATGCAAAAAAGTTGATTAAAAAGTTTAAAATGGATGAATCAAAGGAAATAGACACACTCATTGCAACATCTACTAAATTAGACATAGATGAACCTGGTTCATCTGTTGATCAGAAGTTGTATAGGGGTATGATTGGTTCATTTTTGTATCTTACTGCTAGCAGACCTGACATAGTTTTCAGTGTAGGGCTTTGTGCTCGTTTTCAGTCAAATCCTAAGGAATCCCACTTGACTGCTATCAAGAGGATACTGAGATATTTGAAAGGCATTACTGATCTTTTCCTTTGGTACCCTAAAGGTACTAACTTTAATCTAGTAGGATATGTTGATGCTGACTATGCAGGTTTTCTTGTGGATAGGAAAAACACCTCAGGTATGGCTCATTTTCTTGGTTCATGTCTAGTATCATGGGCTATTAAAAAGCAGAATTCAGTGGCCTTATCCACTGCTGAGGCTGAATATGTTGATGTTACCTCTTGTTGTACTCAACTGTTGTGGATCAAACAACAGCTGATGAATTTTGGCATTGAAGTTGGTTGCATCCCTATTTTTTGTGATAACACTAGTGCTATAAGTATGACCAAGAACCCAGTTCATTATAAGAGGACTAAGCACATAGATGTTAGACATCACTTCTTAAGGGAAACTATGAGAAAGGATTGATTACTATAGAATTTTGTGCTACTAATAAATAAATTGCTGACATCTTTACTAAAGCACTGAGTAAAGAAAGCTTTGAAAAGAACATGTTAGAATTAGGGATGATTAAGATCACCTAATGGGACCAGCTCAGAATGCACAATGAGAAAATGAAAAATGAATGAAAAAAAATTGAAAAAAAAATTGGCTAGGATATCTGGAACTTGTGTAAATATCTAGATTAATTTTTACTCAGTTTCATACTGTAAACAGTATACTCCTGTGACATGTGTTGATATGACTTACTGATCTCTAACAAAATTTTCTCTATTTTGGTAAATTGAGGCATGATCAAGAGAATTCTAAATGAAGAACCTGGTTCATCAGTATTGGTTCATCTGAATAACGAGGTATGTTTTTTATACTCTGCACAATAAGAAATATAAATATTTAAATCAAGAGCAGAGTCCTACCTATGTTCAAAAACATCAGAAAATCCTATCCGTTTATTTTTGAACCAGTTTCGTCTCTATTAGAATTCTCACCACATAAAATGTCTAAAATCTAGGGAAGCTTAACCGTTCATTCAACCTGAAATTTCAGGTTGATTAGACCTCTAATTGAATGCTGAAAGCTACCGTTAGTCATTAAATAAGTTTCTTTCTTTAAATATCGATCATCACCCTCTGCCACCCTCATTATTCCAAACCATCAAAAATCTCTTTCACTCTAAATTGTTCTCTCTTCCAAAATCCTAACTCTCAAACTCTCTCAAGCCATCAGTTACAATGTCAAACCCTCAAGATAATCCAGGCACTCCTCCACCACCATCCCCTTCTGGTTCCTCCACACCTCCTCCACCCAGTACAAACCCCCAGCCTAAGAAAAAATGTGTCAAAATGCTCGCTCGAAAAATTGTAGCCACAGGTGCACTGTTGAAGAGATTAAACGCACAATTAAAGGCTAGCCAAGCCCAAGAATCCAAACACTTAGACTATTCCTTCAAATCTGCAAGTGAGGGGGAAGGACCTGCGTCTTTTGACTCTGAGAAGATTCAGAGTTCTACTTCTGAGGTACGTTCTGTATTGGTTGAAAGTGTAAAAAATAGGTTTGTTCTTGTTGGGACTGTTAGAGATGTGGAAATGCCTGAATTGAGAAGGAGAGGAGATAAAAATAAAAATGAAAGAGAGAAAAAGAGAGAGGGTGCAAGCAGTGATGTGAGGGGAACAGGGGTAGACATGGTTGATTCGTCACCCACCTCTGAGATGATTAGACCAGCAATTTGTGGGGCTGAGGTAGAAATTGTGGGAGAAAGTGGCAAGAACACAGGGGGAAGTGGATCAGGGGAGGTTGTTGAGGGTTTGGTAAATTTGAGTTCTCATATGGATGAACCCAGTTCATCTGTTAAAGAACCTTAGCAGACCTTCTGAGGAAAGTAGATGCCAGTTACAATCCTAAGAAAAGAAGAACTCCAACGCCCAAGATTCCAAGCACTACAAAGAACACCAAGAAAAGAAAGGCCAATTCCCTAACAATTGCTGAAATTCCCTTGCCAAAAGGGAGAGACACAAGAAGTATGATAAAACAGAGTGAGAGTGAATTACAAAAGCCTTTAGTTAAAAGCAAAAAGAAGAGAATAGATAAAGGAAAAGCAAAAGTTGCAGAGACTTCTAAGGTTATTTATGTTGAGGAGATGGAACAGGTCCATCAGGAGGAACATACAACTGTGGAGGTTCAGACCTCCAAGACTAAAAAGACCAAGACCTCTTCTAAGAAGTCTTCATCAGGCTCTAAGGCTGCTGAATCTTCATTAGCCAAGAGGACAAGGTCTGCAATGAAAAACAAACCAGTTAGAATTACTGAAGATGAGGAATGGAGTGGTGAATAAGCGAGTGAGTCTGATGGTAAACAAGACAAGCTGGCCAAGTTTGGCAGAGGAAAATTTTTGAAGGGTAGATTGCTGAAAGACTTGGTGGAACCAGGAATGGTTCGTTTGGTTGATGCACTAGCTGTTCGGGGCTGGAAGGACATGGTCCTTCAAACAGATGGAAGGCTAGCTAGGAATAAAATCATTGAATTCATGGCCAATGTAGAGGTCAAGGATGGCAGAGTCACCAGCCAAGTGAAAGGAGTTCAAGTGACCTTCGATGCAGAGAAGCTGGGAGAAATTCTTGACATCCCTGCTGAGGGATATGATGACTACACTAGGTAAAGATGGCCAAGTTTGGATTCCCTTCCTCCTGCCCTTGAAATCACTAGGATATTATGTGATGTTGAAGAAGTGAATGAGGCCAAGTTTGTGCACAAGAGTGAAATGAAGCCACAACACAAAGTCCTCTTTGAGTTTGTCAACAAGTGCCTATTGCCTAGGCAGGAAAGAAGGCACATTGCTAACTATATGGACTTAGTTCTGATGGAGTGCCTTGAGAGTGGAAGGCAAATCAACTGGCCTGCATTCATCATCAAGCTACTGGACAGGGTTATCAATGGCTCCAAGGCCCATGCCACCCCTTATAGATTTATTCTGACTATTGTTCTGGATCGGTGCAAGGTGCCTTTAAAGAAGTGGGAAATGTCCACAAGTAAGGACCATTTTGGCATTAATACTCTGATTCCTTGTGACTATCTAGTCAACGCCATTCCCAATGAACCTGGTTCATCCAAGAAGACACCTATCAACAGTAAAGTCAGGGCTCTAGTTCAGGAAAGTGGGGCCAAGGATGCTGAGATAGCTAGGCTGAAGGCTCGCTTAGCAGAGGTTAAATCTGAGAGGGATGCTCTCAGAACTGATCTTACCAAGGAAAAGGAGAAGAATGATGGGATTCTTCACAATATGTTGAATCTTCTCCAAGCCCAAAACCAACCCTCTAGCTCCCCCAAGCCTTAGGACTTCTAGCCTTCATCTCCTGAACTGTCTAGTACCACCAGTGACCCAAATTAGGGATTTCTCTTTCTTTTTGCTCATGTTTTGAATATTTTTACTTTCTGTTTATGGATTGTGGTAGCAACATATCTTCTATCAATGATATCTACTGCTTTTTGCTCTTGTTGACTGTTAATATTTCCTTGATAGTTTGGATGTGTTTGCCTGATTACTAATGATTGATCCATGATTGCACTTGCAGTTGCCCTAGTGGCCATGAGTAATTGTTAAAATTCTGGGACTCACACTTTGTTTATGCAACTTTTCGATGATGCCAAAAGGGGGAAGAGATATTGTGCTTTACATATTCTGAATAAGTGATGTTTATAACCTAATGAACCTGGTCCTTGATGATAAGCAAATTTTTCCAAATTTGTATTATGAATAAGCTGAGTTCTGACAAGGACTAAGTGAGTGAAAAGCACAGAGTTTGTCATCATCAAAAAGGGGAAATTTGTTGGCCCAAGGTGAAGTTTTGAAGACTGACAAAGGAACTCAGACATGGACTGGGTCCATCTTGTGAAGCACAGTTATGATCAACTCAAACATTTGAGATGCACGTGAAGGAGATAAACCTAATTTATCAAACGTGATATCTCCTGGTCATGATAGGAAAGGTTGCATATTGGATAAGAAGAAAGACTCTTTACACAAAGAGAACACAATTTAGGAAAAGGATAGAGTTAGAGTATGAGATCAACTAAAACTCTTCCACCATGGAAGAATAGCATATGTATCCTAGTCAATCTCTAATTACTAACTCCTTAAATATTAGTGTTGTTCTCTTTTACAGGTAATGCACATAAGCAAAAGTTAAACGTGAATTGAGAGCAAAATAGCAAGGCAATTTTGCAAGGAATTTATGTGTGATTCAAGCATGCAATCCTGAAGCTACTAGAACCAGATAGAAGAACCAGTTCCAAGTGTCTATCTTTTATTCTAGTTCAATTGTAGTAGGTAATTTTACATTTTAGCTTTTAGATTTTATAGAAGGAATTGTATTAGGTACTTAGAGTTTTCAATTTAGAGTTAACTTAAAGTTGTCGCAACAATTGAGGCTGTGTGCCACAACGGGATTAGAGTTAATCCTAAGTTTACAAAAGAGTTTTTGTAAATGCAGTTTTTGGCTCAGTGATTTTAGTAGAGAGTTTGGGAAAATCCTACTGGAAAGTAGGTCGTGGTTTTTTCACCTTTTGAGCCAGGTGTTTTCCACGTCAAATCTTTGTGTTCTTTATTTTCCGTATTTGTTATTCCGCAAGAGTAGTAGTTGGAACACATAGAAGAACCAGGTCCTTCTATAATCAAGCTAAGTGAAAATTGGGTACCATACAAATCACCCCCCTCTTATGTGGTATTAAAGTATAAAACATTAGCTTTATTATAAACTGTTGCAGGATATATATTATTTATGCCCCGTCGTAGCCTTGTCATTACCTCGTCGAGGTTAGGCTCGGCACTTACCAGTACATTGGTTCGGTTGTACTGATACTACACTCTATACTTTCTGTGCAGATTTTGGAGCTTGTAGTGGCTGATCGAGAGGTCGGTTGCTGATACTTCATTCAGAAGACCCAAGGTAGTCCTACAAGCGTCCGCAGGAATTGCGTCCCCCTCTATGTTTTCCTCATTTCTATTTTATCTCCTTTCGAGACAGATGTATTTTTCTTTCAAACCCATACTTGTAGTTATTCATAGAATGTTCATGGGTTGTGACACCAGTTTTTGGGTGGTAACAGTTTTTGATATTTGTTAATAGCCTTTGGATAATTAGTAAATTATGTGCTTTCACATTCATTTCTATTTGATTTAGTTTTATTTATTATAAGCCATAAAATGTAAAGGAAAAAGGTAATCAGAACTCTAATGTTGGCTTGCCTAGAGAGTGCGATGTTAGGCACCATCACAGTCCTTACGGTGGAAAATTCGGGTCGTGACACCTAGTCCTAGTTAACCTGGGGCAAAATTTTGTTGCCCGCTCAGAAGATCCTCAAAGAAGGAGGAGCATTACTCTCTCAGTTTCTATTGGATGTCATCTGTTGTCACGGTCGGTGGAACTTGCAAGCTACCTAAAGCCTTTGGCTTTAGAAAAAGATAGGTAAAAGATACAAGCTCTCTCGGGATAATGCTTGTTGAACAATGCCATGCATAACACATCAGCGGTATAGTCTTTTGTTTTTTCTGTTGTTCCTTCTATCTTTATTATGGCAAGATTTTAATTTGCATTTTTGTTTTGTAGGCCAACTTTCTTACTTCTGAGGGCATACAAATGCTGATTCGTGATAAGGAGGAACTTACCTCTGAACAGGATCAACTTTTGGCCGAGCGAGACCAGAATGTTGCTTGCCTCTTAGAGCTGGAAGCACGAGTTGTTGAGGCCGTTGAATTAGAGGCTCGATTGCAGCAAAGCGAGCAAGAAGTAGTGACCCTTAGCCAAGAGATTTCCCTATTGAGGGCTCAGTTTGAAGAGGCTAGGGCGAAATGGATTGAAGTCCATAATGTCGTTCTTACTACATCCGATCGTGAGGCTGTCGCCGCTGAAAGATTGAATTATTTCAAGGCGGCCCTAAACTCCAAAGCTGAAGACTTGCTACTACCGGGGTGAAGTATTCCCAATTGGAGGAGAAGCATAAAAGGACAATTGAGCATAATAGAATTTTCAGCTCTGTTGTCCATGAGCTTGATGTCAGCCTCTGGTCTACCAAATTTGTGCGGGATAACCATTCTAGCAAGGTCGACCAACTTAAAGAAGAACTTCAGTGCCAAGCAGCTTCCCTCATCATTGATAAAAAATATGCTATGTGTAGCATAGGGAGAAAAACCTTGGAAGAGGCCAAATCAGGTGTCATTGACTTTGATGCTGAAATCGCTAAGGCCCGTGAGCTGTAGTTAGTTGCAAAAGGGGGTCTTCCGACCCAGCCTGATGCTGCGGATTCTTCTGGTTCTGGTTCTAGGTTCTCGAGAACTAAAGATGAACCGGAAGGCGATGATGCCGAAAGACAAAAGGACAAAGGCCAACATATCAAACCGGTGGCCGTTTCACCCATTTCTTTTAGGGGCGTAGATATTTCTCTTCCTCCGGGTTCCGGAGATGCAGCAGCTTCGTTTTTGCTTTCTTTTCAAACTTTTGTATTTGTGGTGTTTGGTACATTTATTGTAAATAAGTACACTTTTTCGTTCAAGTATCGTATAAGTTTTCCTTTCTGCCTACTTTCGTTTGAATATTTGCGCAAGTTTTCTCTTTGCGTCTTTTTGTGCAAGACTTCGGGCGTATTTTCCCCCGAAAGCATTTGATTACGGGCATAAGTTCTTCCGAAATCAACTCTTCAATGTGAGGGCTTTCATAAGATGGCCCTCTTATGTATACGGTGCTATTGAAGAGTATGTCTCCTGTTCATTACGGCACTAACATTTGAAGTATTTGTTTAACTTTCAAATAATAAAATCAATTTATTGTTCAGATACGAAACAAGGTAGAAATAAAAGGACTTTACTTTATTCTTTCCACATTTTCNGAGTGTTTGAATGCAATGCGAATTTGAACACTGGAAGTTTTACACCTTCGAGGATTCCACTAGTGAATTGTTAGATAATCTTAAGTTCGGTAACAAACTTCGCTTCCCCTTATGAATTTATGCTATCGAGCCAAAGATTATCTAACACCCCTCAGTGGCTTGCACTTGTGAACGGTCGGGTAATATCTATTTGATAGCAAATTTAACTTCCTTGTAGGAACTTTGCTATCGAGCAAAAGACTAACTAGCCGCTCCGCAGCGGTTATTTGCTTGTGTGCCTTGTCATTTAAAGGTCTTATTGTTGTTGCTAAAGCTTCCTTCGTAGTATGCTTTATGTTGATGCCTCGTTAAAAACCTTTCCAGAAAAAACCCAATTAGGACAAAAATTGGATGAAGGGAAAAAAAGCGCAACGCATACTTTCAGTACATGTGGTGTTCATCAGCAATAGTATC